AGTGCTCCCAGTTATGCTCTTTATGTTTGGACCAGCTGGGTCCATAAAAACATCAGCCTCTTGGTCTTTGCATCCTCTCAGGACCCCAATGTGTCTTTTATGACCTTCTTTGAGCTTTTATTGCTGGTTTCTGGGGCACTTAGTGGAATTGGTCTGTTTTTGACCTTTAACCTTTGGTTCTTCTGGGTCACAGAGAAACTATTGTCCTCAGCAGAAAAAGGTCCTCCTCATGCTGCTGGACTGATCCAACAAACTGGTTTTATTCTCTTTAGGAGACGATGGATGGATGGATGGATGGATGGATGATGGATGGATGGATGGATGGATGGATGTTGGTTGGATGATGGATGGTTAAATGATCCATTGATGATTCCATGTATCGATCTGTTTCCAACGGATCTTTTCTTTCTGCGGTTCTTTAGATTCTGACGGCGTTGGATCGGGACGGATACTGCCGGAAACACAAGCTGAGGCATAAACTGGAGCAAGCCATCAACCTGATGTCTGGCAGCAGCTGAGACCCGGACATGGATCCACGGGGCGGGGGGGTGGGGGTTCTCTGAACTGTCAGAACCAAACGGGTCCGAGTCAAACGGGTCGGACAGCAACAGCTTCAACATCACCAGCGATCAATCCGTCATTAATTATTGATCAGATGGATTGATTGGCTGATGGGCTCGTTGGGACCCAGTGGATCAGAACATTTCCTGGGATTAACGGATTCTGGAACAACTGGACCGAACCTGCTGAGGACTGAACTCAGTTTGCCCAACGAGAATGAACAGTGGATCCCATTCTGGATCAGGACCCGGTCCCATGGTTAAAGAAGGTTCTCCTCACAGGTCGGACCGACCCGGACCTCACTGATCCTCACCGCTGACCCGCCCAGCTCCATCTGGACCTGTTAGGAAATCAGGGTCCGCTCATGAAGGAGAGCGTTTGGTTTGGACGAGCCGACCCGGAATCCACAACATCTCTTGGTTCTGATCGGATCAAGCCGAGCCGGGTCGGGAGTTTTCATCCGGACAATCAGTTTTCCCTCAGCACACTGAGCCCAACGCGTCCTGACCGACCACTTCCTGTTCCTGAGCCTCCCGTTTGACCCCGCCCCCTGCCTCCTCATTGGTCAGTCTGCTGGCCAGGAGGATGTACTGCCTGACCAATGAAGACTGTGGAAGTCACCGCTGTGACAGAAACTGAATACATTCCAGCACAGGTACGCCGCCAACCTTTCAGAACCACATTTTTCCGGGCCAGAACCACCTGCGGACCACGCCGCGGTCTGACCCGCCTGCCCGATCACAGCCATGCTGCACGGCGCCGTGCTAACCCTCCCCGACAGGGGAAATACTGTGCAGAGCTACAAGCCCAGTGCCATGCAAAGTCCGGACCAGATCTCCCTCAGGACTGGACTGGACTCGGACCAAATCCAGATCCAGAACAAAGAGAATGGAGGCTAAACTGGACCAGACTCCAAGAACTCTTAAGACTTGTGGCCATAATTGTAAACAGGAAAAAAAAAGGAAAGAAAATGAAGCTAAAAACGATAAAATAATGAAAAGAATTCAGACGAACGGAAAAAAATATGGAAATGCTAACATGTAACCAGAACTTTGTGGGTTTTTTGGAGCTGGACTTGTACAAAGATAAACAGAACTTAACATCCGAGTCCGAAGGAGGACAGAGAGCCTAAAGAGGGATCGGACGGTACCGACCGGCCCAGATCCGACACGGCCCAGTGGGCTGCAGATGCAGACACAGTTTGGACTTTTTGGTACTTTTTTATGAGCAGAACCAGAGCTCTGTGGGTTCAGGCCTTTTTTAGAGGCTTTGGTTGTTTTAGATGTTGCGTCTGCATCACAGTGAGAGCGTCTGCAGCCTGCATGGGGTGGGGGGAGAACCGGGTTTGGACCAACAGAACCAGTCTGAGATGATCTGTGCTGGAATATTTTCCCTTCATGCCGCCGGCTCTGCGGTCCTCAGAAAACAGAACCCGGTACTGTTCTAGTAGCCGGGTTCTGGTTCTGATCCGTAGAGTCTGGTTTGGAGCCGCAGGGTGTCAGAGGAATGAAAGATTAACACATTCGCTGCGTCCGAACGTCCGCCCTAATCGCTGGATAATGGTTACGCCATTTTAAATGTATCTGATCTCATCGCAAAGCATTATGGGATTTGTTTTCACTCTGCGACAATTAGCAAAGATGGCGCAGGCACCGTGCGGGGAGGCGGAGTCAGCAAACAGTAGTGATCATCTGTCCGAACGGTGCGTTAAGTTCACCATATAATCCCGGCTCTATAGTGAGGGAGGGATTTAGGGTTATGGCGGACGTTCGACACGGTCCTAGATTCTGGGTTCTTCTTCTTCTCAGGTTTATATTTCTGCTCCTAATCGTTTGGATTCTGACCCAGAAACACAATAAGCTGCGATTCTGTCGTTAAGATGTTTGGGAAAGAAGCAAAGCGAGATCAAAATCAACAGTTCCTCCTTTTTGTGTAGCAGCTGCTGCCACCTGGTGGTCGGTTGTTGTCACGGCGCTCATCGTCTGTTTCCATGTTAATTAGTGAGAAGTGTTGGACGGTTCCTTTAACATGGAGGTGGAGGATGAGGGTTATGGTTGGTGGGTCAGTCGGTGAAAATGTTCCAGCACTGCTGATCACCTCTTTAGACTCTCTGTGATGCCATGAAGATACGAAGCACCTTTCTTTTCTTTCCTGCCGATGTTTCACTGTCATTTAAATCTGTTTGGGGCCAAACGGACCCGGAGGGACGGGTTCTGGTGTAAGACTGCCTTTTTTTTAAGCTTTGTTGATAGAAGAGGGAGGGAAGCCACTAGCGTACCAACACCACTGTTCCCCCACCGCCGCGTGTCTGTGTCTCCCCGCTGCCGCAGTGGAAACTCCGCCGTTCATCACATCTGCAGCTCCATTTAAATCCTTTTCCTTCTAGAGTCGCTCTTTTTAAATCCGACGAAAAATCTGAAATCAGATCCACATTTTTCCTTGATCCTCTCGCTCTGGAAGGACAGCAGGTGGAATCCAGAGCCATCATGGCGCCCAGATCCTACATTAAGTTTTCTATCATTAATTTTCAGAGAGATCTACGGATTATGGCCACGGAAAAAAAAAAAAATTTAACTGATTTTTACAAATTTTATTTCACTTTAATATGGATAAAAAGTCAGAATTCCAAGATTAATCTCAGAATTCTGACTTTAGTGTTAGAATCCTGACTTTAATCTTGGAGTTCTGACTTTAATCTCGGAATTCTGACTTTTTCCTCTGAATTCTGACTTTTTCCTCTGAATTCTGACTTAAATTTCGGAATTATGACTTTAATCTCGGAATTCTGACTTTAATCTTGGAATTCTGACTTTAATCTCGGAGTTCTGACTTTTTCCTGTGAATTCTGACTTTACTCTCGGAATTCTGACTTTAATCTTGGAATTCTGACTTTAATCTCGGAGTTCTGACTTTTTCCTGTGAATTCTAACTTTACTCTCGGAATTCTGACTTTAATCTTGGAATTCTGACTTTAATCTCGGAGTTCTGACTTTTTCCTGTGAATTCTAACTTTACTCTCGGAGGTCTGACTTTAAGCTTGGAATTTAGACT